CTTATTTTTTTTTCAGCTGAACGGATTATACTTGACATATAGGTTTGCAAACCTTCAGTGACAGCAGTTACATTATTGTGCATAGAAGACGCTAACATGTCTGCAAACACGTAATGAAAACTGAAAGAACTGCGATGCAAACCGTAAACAGAGAATGTTCACATTCGAAGAAAGGATTGACTCCGGTGCTGCAGCCAATACATTTGAAAAGGTGCAACTTTTACTTTGAAGGCAACTTCTAGTTTGTGTTGCTGTTTTCACAGCTTCACTACAGCTCTGAGGATTGTTGATGAGTGTTTGCAGACCACTTGGCGTTTTCCATGCAAATTACCAGCAGTTGTGGCGTTCTGCTGGCAACCAAAGCAACTGCAAGGAGGTCTGTGCCAACTGGTTGGGGTTGCTGGTGGTTGCTATGGGTCACCAACCAGAGCTCTAGGCCTATGTAGAGTTTAGCGCTAGATTCCATCGTGCCTGCCATCAGCCTGCAGCAACTGGTTGGAGAATACACATTTTCCCCCTCTTAAAAGGCCGGTGTGAACGGGGTCTTATTCACTTGACCCTACAGCAACACATGTTGATGTGACATTGTGAGCAGCCATGTCTCTCCAAAACCTCAGCCTGTGGGAAAACACGCCTTTGGCTCCTTTGATCTATGACCTCATTAAACACTTTTCTGATGAGTTTGTGGGCTCAGATGCAAATTTCAAGTCTTACCTAATAGAACGTGACATTCACTTTGTAATTTAAAGTCTCCATGAGAGTCCAAAAGGAGGATAAAGCAGGGTACGGTTTGGAGCTGCCATCCTCACCACGCACAAGTGAAGTCTGATGGTGGCAGTGAGAGCGCCCAGCTTAAGGCTTCAAGCCAGCATTTCACTAACCAATGGGTGACCGCACTGTGGTTGCGTCCATTTTTTATATACAATCAGCTAAAATTTAAGGAAGTGGTCACACTAAAATGAATCTAAGGCGATTTTAAATGACTTGGATGCAGTTCGTTCATCCTGCAAATGTTTTGCCTGAATATTACCCTTGTTTCTGGCGTGAGACAATATTGATGTTTTAGGCTTCATTGCTGCTGACGTTTATAAATTTTTGGTTGTCGTCGTACTTTATTTTCACCAGCTGTATTTTTGTATAGTTAATTTGTGTATTATTCTGTTTATATTTGTGCATGTGGTCTAGTTTATGCAACTTAGTTGATTGCACTGCTGTCTTTTTTGGCTAGGACTCTCATCGTCAGGATTTCCAGAGTAACTAAAGCTGAAATATAACAGTAATCTAAAATAAATAAATAAAAAGAGACATTTAAAATGTGCAGATATGTATATTTTAATGGTTATGCTAGAAAAATCAAGGGATAAAATTAAATTTTGGTGCTGGTGTAAATGCTGATTATACGTTTTAAAGTAATAAAATCAAATGTGTATATCAGTCTGACCCCATAAAGATCGGCATGTCCTCCTCTTATTTTGATCTGTTGTCATCTATTTCCAGTCTTGTTTGCATAAATCCATTTCTGATGTAATTTTTAGCAGAGCTGGCATTTTTGCTTGCCCTTGTGCTGTTACCCTTAATGGATTTATACCATGTTTTAATTGCAATCCAATCAGGCATGGCCTGCGGTGTCAAGACTACAGGTCAGCTAATTGATAACCTTGTAAAATATTGATGAGCCATGAGAACTTGAGTTTTTCCTCAAACAGAAATGAAGAAGTAATCTTTCTAAAAAGAGTTTGTTCTTCTACAAGATGAGAAATAAATGCGCTCACTTTGACGTCATCAGACAGAATTTAATCATTACTCACTCCAGGCCTCATCACTGTGACAAAGCCGTGACAATTACAACTATTGTGCCATGGAAAGCTGAGGTTTTTCAGCTTTCTGCGGTGGCTCTTAAGTCCCATATGAAACCCATCACTCTGTGAAGTCTCTTTAAAGCCGTAAAACAACACAGAAAACCGTTAAATCTTTGCCTTATTTTCAATGCACTATTTGTGGCTTTTCCATTCCCGTAATGGGCTCGTATGCACACATGCAAACGAGAGAACGGCATGAAGAGACAGACAGGGCGGAGAGGGAAAGAGAGCGGAGACTGACTTGATCGCTCAGATAAAAGCAATGGAAAACACACATGCATGAGGTCTGAGCTTGTCTTCGAGAAGACAGTGCTGTTGGAACAACACGCACGGGAGGGTACTTCTGTCTGCTGAATCTATGAAGTGTCTCCAGCATGCAGATCGCCCCTGGTTTCATCCAACATCTGACAGCAATGACTCAAATATGACAGATTACAACCCTCATCCATCTGCTACAGTCGCCTTCGGTTTGTGCTTATTTCTCCATCCAGGAAAGAGAGCAGACTATGACAGTGCACAAATTGCTTTCAGATATGCAAGTGTGTGACCATGTATCTTGGCAAGCGGCTGTTTGTTACTTATAAAATCGTGACTCGTCTGTAAAAATAATCAACAGCAGTTCCAACGCATCATTTTTTTTTCATGGGGATTATGGCAGATATATAAGCACGCAAACGTCATATTTGTCTGAAGGAAAAGATTCAGGATTAAAGCGGTTTATCATCACTTTATCACCTATGATATGGATAAATAAGTGCTGTGGTAATATTAAATGGATGATCCGGAGGAATATCTACAGCAATCGGTTCTCTATCTTATGAGATGAGATGAGACAGAGAACTTCAGAAAGATTAAATGTCAAAGCAGGGGTTGCGTTTTCAGAGCCTGTCTTAAACTCCTGCTTTACACTGCATTGAGTGTGTGCGTGTGTGTGTGTGTCACATCCAGATGTGACAGAGAGTTGACCCTGTGACTGACAGTCAGATGAGGAGGACTTGCTTGTTCCACATGGATAAGTTCTTTCTGTCACTGACTCTCTCTCTCTCACACACACACACACACACACACACACACACACACACACACACACACACACACACACACACACACACACACACACACACACACACACACATACACAAAATGCTGCTGTCTACAACTTCCAGCGGCTTCTTTGTGGGTCACTGCAGATGACAGCAAACAGATTTGCTCAATTTTTGCGATTCAGTGACAACAGCGGAATCATCTTTCAGTGATTTCATCCGGTATCATGTTGCTGCTGTCGCTCTCCATTGTTGCATTAATCCTTCTAACTTTTCTCCGCCTCAACTTTCAGTGAAGTTCACTTCTTTAAAAAAAATCACAGCAAAAGACAAAACCATAATTCACATTCACGTTCTGATACTGTGAATGTGAACAAATGCAGGTATTATCAGTTATATCCATGCAGAACTCCCATTTAATCTCTTAAACACTTACAGGTGATCACTTTACTGTAATTACACCTCTTAACTTGGCTACACTTTGAAAAATGTTCATGTTGCATGTGGTGACTTAGATTTGTCGTTGGGTTTAGGCGATATTACTGCACGACTGATCTACCTTTTACAGGCCGTGTTTTTACAGGCCGTGTTAGTGGCAGTGCTGTGTTACACCGTTAAGGCCTAACAGCTTTACAGCACAAGTCAGCCTAATTAAAACACACATAAAAAAAAATGCCCCGGAAACACCAGTTTGGCCACAGGTATTTTCACATTCTGCTATTCTGAAGGGAGAGTGAGGAGAAGAGAAGCAAGGAGAGAAGGAGAAAGTCACAAGGAAGAATCTGGGGAGAAGGATGAGTTGTAAATGTGGCATGGAGAGACAGAGGATAGGTAACATAGTGCTTAAGATTGCTAACATACATACGGTATATATGAGTGTTTGTGTGTGCACAGAGAAAAAGTGAGAGAGAGGAAATTTAACGGCATGCTAAAATTATCAGTGGTGAAACCGTTTCCATGTGTCCTTATGTTCCCTATTAAAAGGCAGCAAAGGGGGGTTTAGAAAATAAGGCAAAGGAAGATTAAATTACACCATCTTGCTATCAAAGTGCCTGTTATTCATGATCCTTACCCTGTCAAACCTCTGTGTAGTTATGACACCTTTCTTGCTTAAAGGTCCCCAAATGGCACTGTGTTCTCACACGCTGCTCAGCTGGGATCATGTCCAGAAGCTCGTAGAACATATGGAGATGATCAGGACCAGCTTCACGGACAAATAAATCCTTCTTTAGGGCCTTAACTACACCCAAATGAGGGCTCTGGTCAGCCTGGCCACCCCAAATCATGTGCTGTCAGTATGACAGTAGCATTTTATGTGCCTTTTGTAAAGGAACTGTGCGATCACATTAACTAAGATCATCACTCAGTGTTTGCTCTCCTTGTCAATCAGATTTTTGTGTTTTTGCTTTTTAAAAATTCTCTAATTCAATTCAATTTCATGTTATTTATATAGCTCCAAATCACCCCAAGGTGCTTTATATGGTATATGATGAGGTATTTGCTGTAGATTTTACATGTTAGAGTAATCGATGTGATGTTTGCATGGGTTCTTTGTGGCTCTGTTGCAGAGCAAAAAGGGGAACACTATACAGGATGTCATGCTGAAGTGAATAAATGGTGTTTAGATGACTGTCAAGATGATGAAACGCTCCTCTGGGACCTCACTAGCCCTTTTGATCTAGAGCAGCACAAGAGAGGGAGCATTGTCTAAAGCTGATCCGAATATATCAACCAGCCAATGCATTGCTGTCTCTTCTATTGACGGAGGAAATCAGCACATCTGCACAGGTGATAAGATGTCAGCAAAAACATCAGTGCTGCTCAGCTGACCCTTTACCCTTACAGCATATACAATCCTGCATTGGCCCGCATGACATCCAAATATGCAATCGTGTTCAAACTTTTTCCAAATAAACCCGTCAGATTCACTTATAAAGAGCACATCGGTTTTTACAGCAGACACCCTGTGTCGTTTTAAAGTTTTGGACTGCCTACGATGGTCCACGATTTACAGTTTTTACATTTTATGATTTGCGGTCAAACCTGGGCTAAAAGCCAGCCACATTCTGTATGAGTGGATTCGTGCGTTCATCCTTACCTGTACCACTCCAGCCCTTTATCGTAAAACCTGTCGAAGAAGTGCGGCTCCGCGCCGAACGCTCTCACGTCCGGGTGGATGCGGAGAAACTCCAGCAGGGCGCGTGTCCCTCCCTTCTTCACGCCGATTATAATCGCCTGCGGAAACCTTTTGGTCCCGAAAGTGTTGGACACGGGGATGCCGTTGCTCTGGACAGTCTCCTTTTCGCTGTCCAGCGTATTCTCTGACGGCTCAGCCGGAGCGTCCTCGGAGCCTGTGCGGTTCCGCTGAAACGGCGCATCGGGGAAGAGACGCCGGGGTGGCCGCAGATCGTCCAAAATGTCATAGTCCAAGTCTGAAGTTTCTTGTCTGTATGCAGCTCTTGGAGCCGAATCACAAAATCCGGTGAGGCAGTAGAAGAAGTAGGTGAAGATTAGGACCATGGTGAAAAAGACCGAGACTTTGGACAGCGCCTTCCCAAAGTTGACCCTGAATCTGCATCCACTACATCCCATGAGTTGATCTCCTGCTCGATGCCAAAGGGCCAAAGCGGTGACAGCATGCTTCTTTTTGTTCCCTACATGGATCAGAGTTCGAGCTTAAATGTTCTTTGGAGAACCTGTTGCGCAAAGCTGATCCATCACACGGGGAGCTTCTCTCAGCAGTGGAGTGGCACAGTGGACTTGTCAGAAGTTACATTCATAATTCAGAAAAGAGCTACTAAAGATGTCCTCTGATCATTTTGAATCGTTTGTCCTTTAAAACTCAGTTAGCTGAGACTTTCCAGCTTGTTGTGTCTGTGCGCTCTAGGGTCCTGGAAGCGCTCATTCAAGGTTTCTTTGCTTCTTCTACACCCCCTACACCCCTCCCTTTTTCCTTTTACATGTCCCCACCCTTTTCCTGCTGTGACATCTTATAGATAGATCGTTCCAGCACAGATAGGATGAAGGGTTTTTTATCCTGTATAATTAAAAATTTATGAGGCATAACATTCTTAATAAATCATTACAGTATGTATCATCATAAGAAAACAACTGTAGCGTATTAAAGCACCATTAGGAAAATGATTTTTTTAATAAGTTAATAAAGAATTTAGTCATTTTATGTCAAGTCAAGTGTAAGGCACATGATTTAGCTTCTTTAGCTCAGCAATGTGGGAAAAAATGATGAGCACTTTATTCTAAAGAGCCCACGTCAGTGTTTTACAAATGTAAGATGACTCCCCACCAAAGAAAATCTTCCTCGCCCCTTTGAACTCATGATAGACATCCCAGTCAGCTTTGTGAATAACACGAGCCCCGAGGACGTCTATCTAAAACCTCTTGTACTCTTCTTGCACTCTGAAGCTCAACACATGGTCTCTTGGCACAAACCTCCCCCCCAAAAATAATAGGCCTAACATAAGGAGGGGATACCTGCAACCCATATCTCTCTTGTACCCTCTTCCCATAAATACAGTATCTGAGACTGAGTGTGTCATCTTTGGGGGTGAGCAGGAAGGATTGGCTCTGGGACATTCCCCTGACTCCGAGCTGGAGCAGATATAGAGTTTCTTCAGGCAACGAGATGAATTCAGACTTTGAACCTGATTAACACACCGGCTGTTTGAACGGATGAGAGGATGGGGGGGGGGGGGGGGGGGGGGGGGGGTTAAAGGGTAGATAATCTGTCTGTGACACGCTCAGCCCTGGAGCAGACAGATATAGTAAATCCACTTGGCACTGCACCGACTAATTGAGAATTTTATGCTTTTTATTATCATTCATCTTCGTTCTTTAACATCCTCAGAGAAAACAGAGTTCGGCATTTTTGAAAATGCGCTCTTTTGATTTCTGTACGAGTGAAACATCTTGCCAGTTGTGTTTAAAGGTAACAGAAGGAGCTGGCTTATTAACATATTGTATTTGGTGTGTATAGAAAATCAAAAATGGCAAGAGAGTGTCAGCGGTTGTAGGGTGTGAAGTGCGAGGCTAAAAACAGCAGACGCTCTATGTTTCGCTCCAAAGTGCAAAAAAAATGTGTTTTTACACTTTTTACTTCTACAGTTTCTGTGCAAACTACAGAAGTGACACATAACGTGATCTCTGTAGATCCTGGGTGAATTTTGTGACTTTTCAGATTTCCCTCCCATTTTCAGTCTTTGCGCCAAGTTAGCTGATTGCTATTAGTATTCTTAGCATCCTGATAGGAGAGTGGTATCAATCTTTTCATCTAAGTCTTGACAGTCTCTTAATAGCTCTGTCCCGCAGTGTCTAACTTTTCCTTTAAGGAAAAGCTTTCAAAGTTAAGAATTGCAGAGCCCGTGATTGCAGTTTCCGCCGTCTGCTGAAACAAAGGTCTCTGTGGATTCGTACATGACCCAGGCAAATATAGAATAATGATATGTTTTGACACACAAACAGCCATTGTAAATCCACTGCAAAAGAGGCCAGCTTGGCATCGAGGAATTCACAGCTTTTGGAAATGACCGTCCGCTGGCTGTAGTGCCACATTCAGTCAGAGTGAGGTCAGGATCCGGGCTTTGCTTTCATCAGACGTTTTATTTGCTTTTCCCTCATGCTAATTGCCCTAGCTGGAGTTATACTGGCAGGTTTGGACGCAGAAATATAAACAGTGAGATTAAAGAAACAAACAGGCAGCAGCAGTGTTGAAGAAACAAATGTGATATACAAGTCGTGAGCTGCATCTGTGTATATAGGATTGAGGTCGGATACAGTATATCAATCTGTGGGTGTGTTTGCCTGTATGCTCCTCTCTATCTCTGTGTGCTCACGTTTTTATGTATGCATGTGTGCAGTCCAGACTATATTTCCCACCGCTGTGCCTGCAGGTGCGTGCTGGCGCCGCATCCCTGTGTGCACCACAGATAGAGATTTCCATAGCCGGAAGCCTGCCGATGGCGCGTACATGTGTCAGCCATTACAGCAAATTACAAATCCTGCACAGCAAAAAGCTGAATGTTCCACTCTCGTTGTGTAATTTCCAGTGTGAGGAAGAAGCTGTCGCCCATTTGCAAAACCCAGCAGAACTCTTAAAACAGGGGTGTCAAACATTAGGCCCTGAGGCCAGAGTGGCCTGCCAAAGACTCCAATCCTGCCCAATGGATGGCTTTGGAAATGTGAAGAAGGGCATACATTTGAGATTTTTAACTTTATTTTCACAAGTTTGTCAGCTTTTCGCATTGATAAAGACTTCCTCCATGTTCATTCACCAAAGTAAATAATTAAAAGATTAACCGTTAAATGAAAGAAAGTTCCAGTTTTTTCACTATGTACTATAGAAATGTATGATATTTACAGTGGGTTCACCATAAATCGCCCCCTTCCAAAACAAAAGACAAAAAGTTTGTGCAATAAGCTAAGTGAACTGTTTCTGTAATTTCCCATGTTTCTTTTTACATTTTAGGCCCAAAGCAGCATTTCTTTATCATGAAGAAAATTGAGGTGTTTTGTTAAAATTGCGCTTTTTTATGTTAAAATATCCCAGGGATTAAATGTGTGATTAAATTTTACAGTATCAAAAAGAAGAGTTTGACTGGTCACTTAAGATCAAAGTGGGCTGCATGTGGCCCACAATATAAAATGAGTTTGGAGTCCCCGCCTTAAAACCATCATGACAGATGTTTGAAACCAGGAGATACTCATCAAGCAGTGCAGAGGCAAGGCTGTATTTTCCTTTAAATGGAGCCTGAACCGTGTGTGTGTGTGTGTGTGTGTGTGTGTGTGTGTGTGTGTGTGTGTGTGTGTGTGTGTGTGTGTGTGTGGAATGAATATCAGCAAGACATTTCGTAGTAGTTAACTGCAAAGTAGTATATACGGACAAAAGAGCGTCCCCCTCTGATTCTGATGAATGTTCTTGTCAGGTTCTCATGTTTACTTGTCATGTTCTCATGTTGTTGCTAAGGATTGTCTTATTGCACTGGAGTCACACTGGGTTAAATATTTACACTTGGGTTTTAAGGGGTATTTATTATTTTCTTCATTATTTTATTTACGGGTTGTACGGAAGCCCCAAATGCAATTTCATTGTTCTCTGACAATGACAATAAATAAATAAATACAAAAATACAAAAAAAAAAAATACAATACAATGTTCGCTTTTCGCCTAGATTTCTTGTCAAAAGAAAGTTTTATGCTCGTAATGTGCACGTTGTGCCTGAATCTCTCTTTGAAGCAACAACAGATGCCATGCACACTATTTCCTACATGCAATATGCTCAGTGGTGGATCCCTCAGGCAGTGAGGATGAATTCAAAGGCCCACAACAAAGCAGCTGCGAGGCCCCACCTTCCTAACTTTTATCTGCAAATGTAAGCAACCTCAGTGAGAATGACTGATGGACAGCGTGAAGGAGGAGATGGAGGACTGAACAAAATCACTCTGATCTCTCCAGCCGCGCACTTTTTTCTGCCCCACAGCTTCCTCTTCTCCTCCTACCCACCATCCCTCGTGTCCCGCCACCTTCACGCAGGTGTATCAAACTTTTCTTCTTTGTTTTGCCTCCAGCGGGACCTTCGGAGTCCCAGACTTGCTCTGCAACTTTATAGAGACATCACTAAATGGATCAATGTAGTAAAGATCTGAGAGGAGAGATGTTCGGAGATTATGCAAGACTTTGAACGGCCTTGGAAGCATTAGACAGTGCTAGGCTCACATCATTCCTCAAGTTCAACATGGGAATAATTTATAGCTGAGGGAGAGTTCGCTGGCGTTCATTCTGACTTCACTGGAGTTAAATCTGGGCAATACCCCAAAACCAGGAGCTTCAATTACGTAGCAGTTATGCACGTATAAGCCTATGGATATGTTTTGCATAAACAAAAATGCACAAAAGCCTTCCCCGACTGGAAACCAGCTGCACATAACAATTTTCTATACATCTTTCATCTTGACAATTTAATCTAAAATGCCTTTCGAGGAAGCATGTCCCTACAGGAGCCTCGTGTTTTCTTCTTCTTCTTTTTTTTAACTCTTATTTACTTTCTGTGCTTTATTGTAGCACCAGAATCAGGGGAGCAGGAATCTAAAGAGAACGGAGGGAATTAAACTGAATGACAATCATGTCATCACATAAGCCGCAGACCGTTTGGGAAATGCCTTCTTTTCTAATCCGCAGCTCTGTGGTGAAAAATGGGATCTGGTGGTTGGCTCTTAAGTGATATTGGGTGTGTGAGGAAGGGCGGAGGAGCAGGGAGACGGGGATGTGAAGGGTGCCTATATGTGTTTTTGCCTGTGTGACAGGAGCTGTGCGTGTGTGAGAGAGAGAAAGTTTAAAAAGAGATGTTAAAAAAGAGACGGAGTATAGAGTTTCATGCCTTCGAGCTCAGTTTGGGGGATTCAGTAAGTCATGTGGCTCCAAATCTGACAGAGCTGCAAAGGTGAAGCAGTGCACTGGCATGCACGAAGACTTTTATAACTTCACGCTTTTATACTACATATAACCACGCGCCTGTGGAGCCCTATTGTTCCCTGTCTGCACGCTCATGTACAGCTTGCGGTACCCGGTCTCAGACTGTTAGTGAAATGCTTGTGGGCTGCTCTGTGTGGCTTCCTTTCACTGAAAGGCCCAGTCCTCCTAAATGTTGATTGCCATGACGTCAGCTCTAAACCTCAGCCCTGCCTTTTATGTGTCACTGTCACCATCTATTTCCGCCCACTGCGTGAAAAACAACTTTCTTTCCATCAGTGCAGTTCACTGACACGGACACTTGGGTTGAACACTGTGCTACTGTTACCGGGCCAGAACCGCCACCCAAATGGAGGCGCTCGTCCATTTTCACAATCGCTCGGCTGGTCC